AGAAAAGGGGGTGGAAAAATCGTAAAAGCCAGAGGACCAAAGTATCTGTTTTGAGATTTGCTTCCTATATAGGAAAGGGAAGCGGCATTCATGAAATCTCAACAATATGGTCCCCTCGCAGAGGCCTGAACGATGATTTCACCTACTGACCTGCCAACAGGGATGGGAGGGGATCTCACAAAGCCCCTCCCCTCGATGAAGAGTGGCAGGCAATTACTAACTGCTGAGTGGGGAGAATCAGTCTTCCCCAGGGATGAGCCTTCAACACATATACACAGGAGCAACACGAAGCGGACTCAGCCAGTTGTATTTATGCATTTATAAATACGTATCCATGTTGTGCCAGCTAGTTGTTTGTCAACTTGACACAAGCTAGAGTTTTCTGGAAGGAGGGAACCTTGGTTGAGAAAATGCCTCCGTAAGATCTGGCTGAAGAACATTTTCTCAATTAGTGATCGATTGATGACCATTGTGACTGGTGCCCCCTGGGCTGGGGATCCTGGGTCCTAAAAGAAAACAGACTGAGTAAGCCAGGGGAAGCAAGCCCGTAAGCAGTACTCCTCCATGACCTCTGTATCAGCTCCTGCTTCCTGGTGCCTGCCCTGCTTGACTTCCTGTCCTGACTCCCTTCAGTGATGAGCAATGATGTGGAAGTGTTAGCTGAATAAAGTCTTCTCTCCCCATTTTACTTTGGTCATGGTGTTTCATTGCAGCAATAGCAACCCTAACTAGGATGCATGTTACAATAATAAACAAAGACGAGAAGGTAGATCTGGGAGGAGTGGGTAGTAGTATGAAATTCTTGTTTTAGGATTATTAATTAATTAATTAATGTGCACTGATGTTTTGCCTGTGTATAATCTGTGTGAGGGTGTCAGAAGCCCTGGAACTGGAGTTACACACAGGTGTAAACTGCCATATGGGTGCTGGGAATTGAACCTGGGTCCTCTGGAAGAGCAGCCAGTGCTCTTAACCACTGAGCCACCCCTCCAGCCCTGAAATTCTTCAATTACAAGAAATATTACATTAAAAATAGAGTGAGGGGAATTTTGTCAGGCTTGCAGGCAAAGGCAGGCATGAGGTTTGATTGGAGGGGCCTTTCCCTCTTGCTTCTCCACTATCTTTCTTCTGGGTACTGGGCAGTGTGTGCATTTTCTGGTACTCTGGCTTCCTCTCTTTCTCTGAAGCTGCCTCACCCCCACCACCATCTTGCTGTGTAGAGGCTGGGCGACTGCATAGTTGACCTCCATACCTGACTCTGTGGTTTTCTCTCTACTTCTTGCTCCTCCTCCTCTGGGCACGTGCCAAGGTTTACAGCTTGCCTGCTTCCTCTTTTAAGCTCTGATAAAATTGTCCTTGAGGGGAGGAAAGAAAATAAAAAGCAAGAGAGGCAAAATGACAAAGAGGAAGTTCTGCAAATAATGACAGGAGCAACCGCCAAGTGCACCTCACCAGCAGGAGACCCTGAGTTCAAACCAAAGCAGCCTGAGGGTGGTGGTCCCAGCACTGGAAAGGCTGTGGGGAGACAGGTACCCCTGGGGCTCACTAGCCAGCCATACCGCACTACGTGGTGAGCTCTGGTAGGTTCCGTAAGAGACCCTGTCCCCACAAACAAGGTTGATGTCTCAGGGAATGAAACCAGAGGATGATCTCTTTTATTTATTTGTTTTTTGCATTTATTTTTGAGACAGGGTCTTGCTGTGGTGTAGACTAGACTGGCCTTAAATTTACAGAGATCCACTTGCTTCTGTCTCCCAAGTGCTGGAATTAAAGGTATGTGCCACTATGCCCTGCTCCAATTCTTTTTAGATTTATCTTAGGTCATGTGTATGAATGTTCTGCCTACATATATGTGTGGGCACCATATGTATACCTGGTACCCTCTGAGGTCAGAAGAAGGCAATAGCTCCCCTGGAACTGTAGTAATGAATGGTTGCCAGCCACCATGTCGGTGCTGGGAATTGAACTTAGGTCCTCTGCAAGAACTGCTCTTAACTACTGAGACAACTGTCCAGCACCCCGAGGTTGATCTCTTGCCTCCACACACACTTGTATATATGTATATGTGTATATACATACATGCACCCACATGAACACACAGACACACATGTCTGTAAACATAAACAGCAAGGTGGGGCTGCTGAGGTGACTCAGCAGGTAGAACAAACCAGAGAACCTTCATTTGACTCTGGAAGGAGAGAGCTGCCTGCAGAAAGTTGTTCCCTTGTGTCCACGTGCACAGTGACACACACGTATGCAGTCACAATACACCATACAAAAACACATGCACAATAGTAACTAATCTAAAGTTTTGTGTTTTTTTTTTTAAAAAAAGGAGAAGAATAACAAAACACAAGGTAGCAATTTATATCTCTGACTATATCAATGATCGGTTAGTCCACAGAGATTAAATCTCTTTATTAGAAGTGAGACTCTGGGACTAGGATTCAGCTTGACTGTATGTAGTGCTGGGCAACTAAGTACATAAGCCTGTTGCTTCATTCTTCTGTATTTTAAAGGATATTAGGAAACAGCTATTGGTAAAACAGAAAATGCATTTACTTAACTTGCCAGCCTGTAGAGAAAGGCTGCTACTCCCCTTCAGCTCTCCTGCAACATTGTTATGGTTTTATCAAAAAGGTAAGAGAAGCCAGGAGATGGCCACTGTAGCTGAGACAAGTTGTCAGGGCTGTGACACATGGGAAGCACATTCTTCTCTGGCTGGCCTCTAGGACCTGGATTGTTTAGCCGCTCTCTTCCCCTAGCATAGGATTCCTGGAGAAGGATTAATTCTCTACCACCCATTGCATCAGGGTCTTGCAATATTCTGAATGCAAAGCATAGTGTTTCTGCTAAGACTATCTGATCAGTGCTTAAGCAGAGAACCATGGTCACAGCAGAATGCTGGCCCAGCAAGAGGGGAGGCTCTGGGTTTGCTTCCCAGCACTGAAAAATAATAGAGCTATCCATCGGATTTAAAAAGAAAAATCCAGCTAGTTACTGTTTATAAGAAACATCCTTGGAGCCAGGAGTATTTAAATACATTAAAAATAAAGGAAAAGGAAAAAAGGAACTTCAGATAACACCAGTAAAGACAACTGTGGAACTGGGTCAGGTACGGGTGCAATTCACTAACACTTGGACTCTGACTCCTGTGAATGCATATATGCAGGCGATTGGTGGTGCATGCCTTTAATCCCAGCACTCGGGAGGCAGAGTGGGCAGATCTCTGTGAATTTGAGGCCAGCCTGATCTGCAGAGTGTCCTGATCTACTGTCCAGAACAGTAGGGTTACACAGAAAAAAAAAAACACGCATATACCTGAAGGAAGCAAGTCTGATGCTGACTGACACCTCAGGGTGGACAGCCACACCGCACAGAAGCCATACTCTAAAACCCTGTCTCACAGTCAATGAGACAAAAAGGCAGCCTACTGAATGGGAAAAGATCTTCACCAACCCCATATCAAATGGAGGACTGATCTCCAAAATATATAAAGAACTCAAGAAATTAGACATTTAAAATTCCAAATAATCCAATTTTAAAATGGGGTGTAGATCTAAACAGAGAATTCTCAACAGAATCCCAAATGGCCAAAAGACACTTAAGAAAATGTTCAACATCCTTAGCCATCAGGGAAATGCAAATCAAAACGACTCTGTGGTACCATCTTACACCAGTCAGAATGGCTAAGATCAAAAATACCAATGATTGCTTATGCTGGAGAGAACATGGAGTAAGGGGAACACTCCTCCATTGCTGGTGGGAATGCAAACTTGTATAACCATTTTGGGAATCAGTATGGTAGTTTCTCAGAAAATTGGGAATCAACCTACCTCAGGACCCAGCAATACCACTCTTGGGCATATATCCAAAGGATGTTCAATCATACTACAAGGACATTTGTTCAACTATGCTCATAGCAGCAATATTTGTAATAGCCAGAACTTGGAAACAGCCTAGAGGCCCCTCAACTGAAGAAAGGATAAAAGAAAACATACATTTACACAATGGAGTACTATTCAGCGGAAAAAAAAAACCAATGACATCTTGAAATCTGCATGAAAATGGATGGAACTAGAAAAAAAACATCCTGAGTGACGTAGCCCAGACCCAGTGGTAGGTACTCACTCATAAGTAGATACTAGCTGTAAAGCAAAGGATAATGAACCTATAGTCCATGACCCCAGAGAAGCTAAGTGATAAGGTGAACTCTGGAAAGAGGAAATAGACAAGATCGCCTGAAAAAATTGGGAGCATGGTGGTGGGGGGAGAAGGGAGGGCAAACGGGGAGGAGAGGAGGGGGGAGGAGAACTTGAAGGAATGGGATAGTTGAGAAGGAGGAAGGACAGAGATGAGAGCAAGGAAAGAGATATTTGATTGAGGGAGCCATTATGGGGCTAGCAAGAAACCTAGCACTAGAGAAATATCCAGGAATTCACAAGGATGATCCCAGCTAAGGCCCTAAGCAATAGAGGAGAGGGTGCTCAAACTAGCCTTGCCCTGTAGTCAGACTGATGAATATCTTAAATGTCACCATAGGGCCTTCATTCAGCAACTGATGGAAGCAGAGGCAGAGATCCACAGTGGAGCCCTGGGCTGAACTCCTAAAGTCCAGATGAAGAGTAGGAGGAGGGAGAATATGAGCAAAGAGGTCAAGACCATGATGGGAACACTCACTGAAACAGTTTGCCTGAGCTAATGGGAGCTCACCAACTCCAGCAGGACAGGGAAGGAACTAAAGGACCAAACTAGGCCCTCTGAATGTGGGTGACAGTTGTATGGCTGGAGCAGACTGTGGGACCAGCAGTGGCACCAGGGTTTATCCTTACTGTTTGTACCAGCTTTGGGGGAACCCATTCTCTTTGAATGGGTACCTTGCTCAACCTAGATATAGTAGGGAGGACCTTGGGCATTCCTCAAAGTAATGTGTCTTACTCTCTCTGAGGAGTGGTTGGAGGGGAAGGTGGAGGGGATGGGAGGAGGGAAGGGAGTGGAAACTGGGATTGGTATGTAAAATGAAAAAGATAGTTTGAATAAAATAAGTTAAAACCCTGTCCCTTCTGAGTTTCCACAGCCCGAAGAATGTCTTGAAGACAAGGTCATCTAAAGAGATATTCCTGGCAGAGAAGAAAAAAAGGACTTCTCCAATGCAGAGTAAGTCCTGTCTGTAGACCCGTGGGTCATTGTAGCCCTGCAGTAGGTCTCATTTTTCCCTTTAGCACAGATGGTTTAACATGTCCTTGGTGATTACAACCTCACACCGTGTCCCCTTTAATCTCTTCCACCCCTGGAGCCGTAGGGACTACTTTCCGCAGGTTTCCGGCCTGAGGAATCTGACTTCTGACCTCCAGTTAAGATAGTGAGGTCAGCTGTGTACAGCAGGACTCACGGCCCAGGGGGAACCTGCCTAATGGCCAGAGAGATGCTGTCCTTGTGTCTTCTAGAATGCAGCACCACTTCAGACTGAGCTCCTTTGGTAAGAGAGATTCCAGTCAGTTCCTACTCATGAAATCCAGCCCCTCCTCTCCAGCTGACCACTAGAATTGTCGAGGTCCATGCCCCTTAAAATCAGGAAGCAATTACAAGATAAAAGAACAACCTCCATCAGCTCCCCAGAAAAGGTTTCTGGGTCCAGAGCTGGGTGCGGGGACTGAGGCAGGAAAGTGTAGTGGAGAGTGATATCTGACTCTCCTACACAAACACCGCAATGAGAAAATAAGCATGTGAGCCACTGACCAGCCACCTAGACACTCCCGGATTTCTGTCGGTGACCTGCAACTCAGAAACTAGATATAGCAGCCTGCAGGAGAAAGACTGTGTCAGTCACATGACCTACGAGGCTTACCTTATGTGACATAAATACCCCTATCCTTTGCAGAGCGCTGATGGCAAGCTTCTGAACGATTTGCTTGTCTGCTTTCTCTCTTGGACCTATACTCTTTCTTATATGTTCCATGACTGTGTTTGCTCCTGGTCATATGTCTCTGGCCAACTCCTTGTTCCAGATACAAGAACCCAGACATCCTAGCGGCTGCCCACAGAAACCCAGCATCCGTGGTAGCAGCACCACTCACAACAGCCAAGGTAGAGAACCAGCCCTGGTGCTCAGCAACATAGCCGTAGAGATAAGACATAATTTTTTAAAAAATTGCATCGAGCAGCTTCTGGCAGGTGATATGCATTGTATGAGTCTTTATTAGATAAAGATTTGAAAGCTCTAAGTTGGAAGTATTAGGAGATTGAATGCTTCAGTCAGATCATCACGGCTGTAATTCAGGTGCCAGGAAGCTGCTGGAGGGAGAGCAATTTTCTCATGTTCACAGAGAGGGCAACTCCACACTAAGCAGGGCTGGTCAGCCCAGCTCTGCTTGCTGGGCACGATGGCAGCAGGATGGTGGTCTCTGGCTCACTTCCATCTTCCTGCTCCTGTAGATAGATGGTACTTAGTCCCAGCTAAGTCAGAGATAGAGCACTAGTCACAGACTCTGGGAGATGTTAAGATTTGCAGTCCAGCCCTTAAGATTCAGAGAGGACCGGTGAAACAGGTGAGAACGAACGGCAGACACCAAGGAATGGCAGACACCAACGGATGGGTGTGCGGACAAATAGCTAAGAACCAGCCTGTGGAGGTTTGACTGAGAATGGGCCCCATAAGCTCATACATTTGAATGATTAGACACCAGGGAATGGCACAATTTGAAAGGATTGGGGGGTGTGGCCTTGTTGAAGTAGGTGTGGCCTTGTTGGAGAAAGTGTGTCAGTGAGAAACTGTAAACAAGCTCCCAATTAAATGCATTCTTCTATAAAATCTGTCTTGGTCATGGTGTCTCTTCACAGTAATAGAACAGTGACTAAGACATTGCCTAATGTAAAAATATATAAGACTCTTATGAAGACAGTATTAAAATACTGCTGAAGGACATCACAGGAGACCTGAGTAAATGGAAAAAGATTCCATATTCTTGGATCATCTTGAGGAGGGCAATTACCTAAGCTAATCCCCCCTCCCACCCAACCCTGACCCCAGAGAGATGGGGTTTCTATGTGTAACAGTCCTGGCAGTCTTGGAACTTGCTTTGTAAACCAGACTGGCCTCAAACTCACAGAGGTCCACCCGCCTCTGCCTCCAAGTGCTAGGATTAAAGGCGTGCGCCACCACCACCCTGCTAATTCTTCATATAGTTTTAATGTAGCCAAGGCTGACCTTGAATTTACTATATAGCCCAATGTTCCTGCCTAACCCTGTAAGTCTTATTATTATAGGCATGAACTGGCATGCTGGGCTTCTAAGCTAATTTATGAACAAAACATAAGCAATAAAAGTATCATCTCATGGCATACAAGATAGCCCAACAGGTAATGTAATCACCATGCAACCCTGAAGACCTGAATTCAGTCCCTGAGGCACATGGTGAAAGGAGAAAACTCAATCCCAAAAGTTGCACCCTGACCGTCACATATACACCATGGCATAAGCACACCTCTGCTCTCACACACCTAACCCTAACCCCTAACCCCTAACCCTAATCCCTAACCCTTCACCCTAACCCCTAACCCCTAACCCCTAGCCGTAACCCTTAACCCTAACCCCTAACCTTAACTCCTAACCCTAACCTCTAACCCTTCACCCTAACCCTAACCCCTAACCCTTCACCATAACCCCTAACCCTAACCCTTAACCCTAGCCCCTAACCTTAACTCTTAATCCTAACCCCTAACCCTAAGCTCACACACAATAAAAATTTTTTAAAGATCAGTTCTTGGTTAGAACGAGAGCTGCCCATTCTAGTATATGTATGAGAAAACAAAGAAGAATGGTTAGCACAAAAAAAAATGTAATTGAAACCAGCCTTACCAACCCCTAAACACACAAACTCTCAGAAATGAAGCTGGCGAATGTGGAAAATGTAGAGACACACACTGACAAAGATTAACTCCATAAGAAATACACATACACATTTTCCCCCTGGTAGTGTGGGAGCAGACCCAGGCTCTCACATGTGTCTTCTGCTAGTGAGCTTCACTTTCTTCACACACACACACACACACACACACACACACACACACACACACACACATCTAACAGGACTATTTGGTGAGTTGTATTGAGACATCAGAACTCTGTCTGGGGGGAAAATGTGACTCTACCACAAAGCATATACAAGAAAAACTCCAGATGGTTAAAGGTTGTAGAAAATGCAAAACAAGACTGTTCAAGTACTGAAAGGAAATGGGAGTTTCTTCATAACTGGAGTAAAGAGGCCTTTGCAATTCTGCTGTAAAGTTCCGCTTAACAAGAAAAAAGCCCCCACAATGCTTGAACAAAGTCAAAAGGCAAGAGAAAGCAGGATGATTGGTGGTGCACATCTTTAATCCCAGTGTTCTAGAGGCAGAGGCAGGCGGATCTCTGAATTTGAGACCAGCCTGGTCTACAGAGCAAGATCCAGGACAGTCATGGCCACATGAAGAAACCCTGTCTTGCAAAACCAAAACAAGGGAAAAAGAAAGGCAGTGAAATGTCCAAAGGAAGACATCTGTGGACTGGGGATGTGGCTAGGTTGGTGGAGAGTGCTTGTCCTGCCTGAATAAAACTCGAATTCAGTCCCCAGCATTTTGCAAACTGGACATGGTGGTGCCCATCTGTAACCCCAAGTGAGGTGGCATCAGGAGGATCAGAAGTCCAAGGTCATACCCAGCTACAGAGCGAGTCTGAGATGAGCTTGGGCTTCATGGGATACTCACCTTATTTTTATAGGCGCACAGAGATGACTCAGTGGGTCATGTTAGCTGCACAGGAGTGAAGACCCGAGTTCATATCCCCAGTACCAGGTAACACCAAGTGTGATGGAGTACATGTGTAGAGGAGGAGACATGCAGGCTCCCAGGGTCTTGCTGGCCAGCAAGTCTAGTGAAACTAGGTTCAGTGAAAGACCCTGTTACAAAAAAAGGCAGGAAGAGGTAGAGGAGGACACTCAGTATCAACCTTTGACCTCTGCATACACTGCACAAAAGTAAGGCAACACGGGGCTGGTGAGATGGCTCAGTGGTTAAGAGCATTGCCTGTTCTTCCAAAGGTTCTGAGTTCAATCCCAGCAACCATATGGTGGCTCACAACCATCTGTAATGAGGTTTGGTGCCCTCTTCTGGCCTGCAGACATACACACAGACAAAATATTGTATACATAATGAATAAATAAATAATTTTAAAAAGTAAGGAAACACCTGTGTGTATACAATACACTAAGATGTTCAAGGGTGTCTTCAGCTACATAGCTAGTCTGAGGCCAGTTTAGGCTGCACAGACCCTGTTTCCAAAAGAAAAGAGTCCCTCTCATATATTTAAGAATTCATAATCAATAGAAAATATTAGCAAAATAATAGAAAAAAATGAGAGAAAGAACAAAGGATTTGAACAGACAGTTTACATAAAAATACGAGCTCATGCCTGAGCGAGTTATTTGTACTTTGTTCTTGCGTTCCTTTGTGCAACATGCACATTATTCTTTGTAACTAACGTATGTATAACTTTTTTAACACTCTGATTTGAGCATGACACCTTGTTAACGTGTCAAATTAAGATTCGTACTAAAGTGCACACACTCAGAAGCAGAGACGGGCAGATTTCTGTACTTCAAAGCCAGCCTACTCTTCAAAGTGAGCTCCAGAGTGACTGGGGCTGTTAGAAACACTGTCTTGAAAATCCCCTCCCCAAAAGAGACAAATAAGATAAATAAATAAAAAATAAAAGGTCTGTACTGAAAGGAAAAAATATGAGTTCACTTGAATACATGAAAATACACTCAACATCATTCATAATAAAAGAAATGTAAATTTAATGTAGACAGATACTATTTTTCACCTATCAAATTGTCAAATTTTATAAAATTTAATATTATACTCTACTGGTAAAACTTTAGGGGAATCAGTGGTTGAATGTCTCTCAAATTCAGTTTGTCCATTTCTGACAGAATAACTAATATATCATTTGACCAAGTGATATCACTTCTGAGAATTTAGTCTACCCGCATGTGTGAACTGATGTATGCTAAGGTTTGTCTTTTATGACTGGGGACAGTCCAATTGCCATCAAAATACAATCAGATAAATTATTTATGATACAACCAGCAATGAAATACAGTTTCTATAACAAAAGAATGAGGAAGTCCTTCTTGCTGTAGAGAAAGATTAAGAAACATTCATTTAAAATAACTAGGTACACATCAGTATATATGAAATATTACCTTTGGTGCAGTAAGCAGGTTAGAAACAGAGTATAGTTTCATTTACAATTGTGTGATAAAGTCTACCAAAAGCTAAATGGTGTTGCGTGTCTTTTCCTGTGGAGACATGAACAAACAGCAATTCACCCCAAATTAAGACATGCTTGTCTATCTACAGGACTTGCAGTCAGCTCCGCAAATGGGAGAGTCTGCTCTCCCTGCCAATTGTTACTGCTTGTATAACCTTGTAAATCTTTTAAGTTTCAGGAGCTTCCTTAGACTTGTGAGTTTTCTTTACTTGCAGAGTCTGGTAACTTGTGTCTTAAGAAGCCTACTTCAGGAGAGACTATTTCATTTAGAGGAAATAGCTATTAAAAAGATGAGATCCAAAAAATGTAAAGGTATAAATTATTATAATAATAATTGTATTGTTGCAAATTTAATAAAATGGTTACAGTGAGTGCATGCAATAAACTATCCAGCAGAGGAGGTCCAGAAGCCAACTGTCAATCATTTGAGCTGTGAAGGTTCAGATGGCTCCATGGTTCCCTTCTCTCACCATTAGTCTCCAGCCCCAGTCAGTGTGAAGTTGATGCTGGTGATAGCTGCAGCAAGTGAGGAGAAAGACAGGGAAGGAGGGACAGCTGTTGTCCTGTGGGGCACAGGACAGACTAAATTTGGGTTAGGTTGGAAATACATAAGTGCAATTTTATCAGCCCATCCTGTATGTCTTAGCAATACAGGTAGTTGTGGTGGTTATGGTTGTGATGGTTAATCTCTTTTTAAATTTTAATTATTTACATATTTATGTAGTGTGTATGCACATGCATCCATGTCACAGCACATATGTGGAGGTCAAAGGACAGCTTGTGGCAACTGGTTCTCTCTAGTCATAATACAGGATTCTGGGGATCAAAGTCAGTTCATTGGCAGTGTGGCGCTTGCCTTTACCAGCGAAGCCAACTCACCAGCCAGTGGTGCTTAACCTCGACTATCAACTTGATTGAACCTGGAATCAACTAAGAGATATGCCTCTTTGCAGGTCTGTGAAGCTATTTCCAGGAAGAATTAACTGAGAGGGTAAGACCCAAACCCAGCGTGAGCAGTATCTTCCTATGGTGATTCAGATTGGAAAAGGTCTAAGCAAAGACAGTGTTTGCCTGCCTTTGCTCTCTGCTAGTGAGTACATCTATCCTGTCGTTGCTGCTGCTATTCCCATCTTTGCTACCCTCATAACCCAGTTTCTTTGGCCTTCCAGTGTCTACTGAAGACCAGGAATTTTTGATTGGAACTGCCAAGGCATCCAGGCTTGTGGATTGAGCAACCACTGCCTGCTCAACTTCAGCAATGTGGAGACAACTATTGTTGGGCCACTCAGCACATTGTGTAAGTCACTCTAATCAATTTCCTCATATAATATCTATCCATTTGATTGGTTCTGTTCCTCTAGTGAACCTTAAGGAATATGTGATCAAGCACAAGGAGGGTGATGAAAGCTATTGATGACCTCGACTTCTTGCCTGGTGATGAGGCAACAGAGAAACCCCCATCCATTTTCAACAATGTGGTCAACCAGCCAGGGTATAGCTGGAGATTTGATGGAAAAGTTTATGGAAAATAAGATTAGACTAAGAACAGTGAAATAAATTGAAACAGTAGTCAACACTGCTCTCACCCTGTTTATAGACAACTAGTCTTGGGCTATGTTATGGGCCAGTTGTCCAAGAAAATGATAACTCTTTTATAATGCAAATTGTCCTGGAGAAAAGAGAAACTGGAAGTTCCTGAACTCACTTTGTGAAGATTATATAACTTCACCCCCAAGACTGGGCAAGGAGCAACCAAAGAAAAGCAGGGCCCAGTCTTCAGTGCAGAAAAAAAATGAAAAATTATAATAAGTTATATATTAGTACATTAAATCTACTATTGTATCAAAACAACCATCATGAGCACGGGGAGGGGGAAGTAGTTATTTTAGGATAACTTTAGAAAATATGTTAATTGAATACACTACATTAACACATTGAAGTAAAAACACCATCTGATTTAAATAGTTCCAAAAATTCAGAATTCATTTCTGGTCAGAGTTTCTTGGCAAAGTAGAACCCAAAAAGCTTCATAAGTCGGTACCCAAAAGCTCACGACCAGCATTGTTTTCTGTGGTGAGCCTTCAGGGTTTCTCCACACAGTCAGAAGCCAGAGACAGCTGTGATTACTATAGCATGTATCACTTGCTGGGGTCACTGTCACACAGTACGAGAGACTGGAAAGAAACAGAATCTACAAAGATGTTGGCAAAGTGGCTGGAGTCGAGCTCAACATAAAAAAAAAGCAGCCCTTCTCTATATGAGACTTACCAGTGAGGGTATAATCAAGGAAAGAAATGAAAAAGAATATTTGTATTAGCAAGGCATGACGCTTACAGGTGAGAGTCGAGCTCATATTGAAAAGCTATAGAAATAGCCTCAGCTGAACATGGTTGTGCACACCCATATTGCCAGTACTCGGGAGGTGGGAACAGGCAAATTTCTGTGAGCTAGAGACCAGCCTGGTTTACACTGTGAGTTCTAAGCCATTCAGGATTACACAGTGAGATCCAGTCTTGGGGGGAAAAGACTTAGACCTTGTTTGACCCTTTATTTCCATCCAATGTGTTGTTTGAGGTTTTCTATCCTGCCCAGTTCCCCCAGTTGTTAAGTCCCAAAGAAATCACCCAGAGGTCTACATTAGTTATAAACTAATTGACCCATTAGCTCAGGCTTTTTATTAACTCTTATAACTTATATTAGCCCATTTTTCTTGCCTATGTTAGCCAAGTGGCTTGGTACCTTTTTCAGTGAGGCAGTTATATCTTGCTTCTTTTGTGGCTGAATCAGGGCTACAGAGGAATGGGCTTCCTTCTTCCCAGAATTCTCCTGTTCTCCTTGACCCACCTCTTTCCTGTCTGGTTGTCCCACCTATACCCCCTGTCTGGCTACTGGCCAATCAGCGTTTATTTAAAATATAATTAACAGAATACAGACCATTGTCCCATACCACCCATGCAAACAAAATTCAGTATATTTAAAAAGAAACACATATGAAGAACTTAATAAACCATATTAATGAAGGGAAGACTTAATTATCTCAAAAATGGCGAGCTTGCACAAATTGACCTATAAATTCAATATATCCTTAATAAAAAAAATCCCAACGAACTTCTAGTTGTCCCTGAACAAATACTTCTTATATTTATATGGAATATAGTTGTATAGCTATGACAATCCAAACCCAGCACTGAGAAAGAAGAGTAAATTTCATAGTCTAGGGTGTTATAAGTCTGAAGTAATTGGTGTGGGGAGCATTAACACAGAACAATCAAGTGGATTAGTGGAACAGAGCAACGGGCCTAAAAGCAGAGAGTTCAGGCACAAGGAGAGCTCCATGTGGGTTACGACCTCTCAAATCAGTGGAATAAGCTGAATGCTTAATGAATAGAACAGGAAAATCATTTTAAAAAAAAATTTGGAAAGCCCAAATCCCATACTATACATGTGGTGGTTGGAAAGAAAATGGCCCCATAAGCTCATAGGGAGTGGCGCGATTAGGAGGTGTGGCCTTGTTGGAGGAAGTGTGTCACTGGGGATGGGCTTTGAGGTTTCAGATGCTCAGGCCAGGCCCAGTGTCCTTCTCTTTTCCTACTGCCTGCAGAACTCTCACCTACCTCTCCAGCACCATGTCTGCCTGTGTGCCACCATTATTTCCTGTTGTGGAATATTATTTTAACTGTGCAGAGATGTGTTACATTTGTTTATACTGCAGAATGTTACTTTAACTATGTAAAGGCGTGTTATATTTGTTTTTGCTGTGTTTGTTTCATGGTATAAGGATGTGTGTTTCATTATGTAAAGATGTATTGTGTCTGTTTCACCTTGCCTGTCTAAGGCACCTGATTGGTCTAATAAAGAACTGAATGGTCAATAGCTAGGCAGGAGAGGGATAGGTGGGTCTGGCAAAAAGAAAGTAAATAGGAGGAGAAATCTAGGCTCTATAGGAGAAAGGAAAAAAAGAAGGAGCAAGAGAAAAAGGAGGAAGAGAGAACGAGAGATGCCCAGGACCAGAAGCCAGACATCAGCCAGCCAAACATATAGAAGCAGGGAAAGTGAGATATACAGAAGTAAGAAAGGTAATAAGCCCTGAGGCAAAAGGTAGATAAAGAGAAACAGGTTCATTTAAAAGAGCTAGTCAGAGCTAGGGCAGTGGTGGCTCACGCCTTTAATCCCAGCACTTGGGAGGCGGATGCAGGCGGATCTCTGTGTGTTCGAGGCCAGCCTTGTCTACAAGAGCTAGTTCCAGGACAGGCTCCAAAGCTACAGAGAAACTCTGTCAAAAAAAAAAAAGAAAGAAAGAAAGAAAGGAAGGAAGGAAGAAAGAAAGAAAGAGAAAAAAAAGGCAGAAATGAGTTAAGCTAGGCTGAGCATTCCAAATTAACAATAAGTCTGTGTCATCATGATTTCGGATCTGGTTGGTGGCTCAAAAGAAAAAGCCTAGTAGACTTTCCACCATGATGCCAGTGGATTAAACCTCTGAACTGTAAGCCACCCAATTGAATGTTTTCCTTTATAAGAGTTGCCTTGGTCATGGTGTCTCTTCACAGCAAATCTACACATGGAGCTGGAGAGATGATTTAGCAGTTAAGAGCACTTCCTGCTCTGGCAGAGGACCCAAGTTTTGTTTTCAGGACCCACATGGCAGCTCATTACTGCCTGGGACTCCAGGGAGTCTGACACCACCTGATCACTGTGGGCTCTAGACATGCATGCAGTACACATGTATACATGAAACCATTCACTCATACATGTAAAATGAAGATGAGTAAATCTTTAAAATATGTCTACACATGAAAGGCAACTTTAAAATGTTTAAAAGGAAGATATTTGTATTATGCTACAGAGAAATAGAAGTGAATGTATTAATGCTTGTCTATTACAGGTCTATTACTTGGTTCATGTGCTCTCCAAGGCCGAGATGTTGCAGATCTCTCATTCACAGACTGGAAAACCGGGGAATTAAATTTTTGACTAAGTAAGCCACAATTCCCAAATTGAAACAATATGTGTGTGCACACTTTGATCTCTTTCTTCTCCATATTGTGCTTTGAATGGTAAAATCATTCCCTATAGACGCATATATTGGAGCACTTGGTCCCCCGCTGGTGGCGCTGTTTTGGAAAGCTGAGGAACCTTTAGGACACGGATCTTTGATGGAGGAAGCAGCTCAAGGTACTCACACTAGTAAAAGGTGCTTGTTAGTCAACTCCTCCCTTCTCGTCCCCCATAGGAACTCCAGTTCCTCCCACTACGTCCTGCTTTTGTCTTAACCCTTGGTTCTTGACTCAAGGCTGTGTGACCTGTTGTCTCAGATGCCTGCCACCCCACCGTGCCTTCCCTGCTGTGAGGGGCTGTGTCTCTTCTTGAATAACACCCTCCCAGCCAAACCTTAGCAATGAAGAAGTAGTGAAATGCTGGAGAGATGGCTCAATGGTTAAGAACATTGACTGCTCTTCCAGAGAACCTGGGTTCCATTCCCAGCATCCAACCCCGAGGTCACAGCTGTCTGCAACTCCAGTTCCAGGGGATCTGTGCTGGCTAGTTTTATGTCCGCTTGGCACAGCTAGGCAGTGGGTCTCAGCTTGTGGGTCACAACACACTTGGGTCACATGTAGCATGAGGGGCCGGCTTGTTGGGGTTTCCGTCCCACCCTGTACCCCACAGCCAGTAAATCCCAAAGAGAAATCACACACAGGACTCCATAAGGTTATAAACTGATTGGCCCATTAGGTCAGGCTACTTATTAGCTCTTATAACTTATGTTACCCCATTATCCTTATCTACGTTAGCCACATGGCTCCGTACCTTTCTCAGCTGGGCAAGTTACATGCTGCCTCTTCGGTGGTCTGCACAGGAGTGACAGAGGGAGCTTCTGCTTCCAGAATACTCCCAGTCTCTTTGCTCCACCCCTACTTCCTGTCTGGCTTTCCCACCTATACTGCCTGACTGGCCAATCAGCGTTTTATTAAAATATGATTGACAGAATACAGACAATTCTCCCACACCAGTCACATATCAGATAGTTACATTACAACTCATAACAGTAGCAAAATTTCAATTATGAAATAGCAATGAAATAATTTTATGATTAGGGGTCACCACAACTTGAGGGACTGTATTAATAGGTCATAGCATTAGGAAGGTTGAGAACCATTGCTCTAGATTTATTAGAGAGGTGGGGAGCCTTAATTGAGAAAAGGCCTCCTTAAGATCTGGCTGTAAGTGAGCATGTAAGGCATTTTCTTAATTAGTGATAGATGGGGGATGGCCCAGACAATTATGAGTGGTGCTGTCCCTGGGCTGGTAGTCCTGGGTTCTGTAAGAAAGCAGGCTGAGCAAGCCATGATGAATGGTGAGCAAGCCAGTAAGCAGCATCCCGCCATGGCCTCTGCATCAGCTCCTGCCTCCAGGTTCCTGGCCTGACATCCTTCAGTGATGTACAGTGATGTGGAAGTGTAAACCAAATAAATCCTCTCTCCCCCAAGTTCCTTTGGCCGTGGTGTCTCATCACAGCAATAGTAACCCTGGCTTAGACCAGATGCAACGCCACCTTCTGCCTCTGTAGTCACTAGGCATGCATGTGGGGCAGTTGTGTAGTGAGAGAAGTACCCATACCTACAAACAGTAAATATCAAAAGCAAAGTAAGGAGTACACTCCCCTCCGTGCTGTGTAAGTTACTATTTTTATTAGTTTATGATTTATCTCTCCGATGCATATGTATGTATATATATATCATGCATTATATACACATATCAGTATTATATATAATCTATATTTTCCATATATATTATATATATATTTCCCATATTTCCTAAGTGAAAAGTAATATTCTATATCTTGCCTTTTCTTTCCCAGTATGTCCTGGAAATTTTCAGCGATGGTTTGAGAGATGTCAGCTGGACTGAATTGAGAGATGGCTAAAAAATTGGTAATGTCTATCTTTGCATGTTCTTGAAAGGGTATTTCCAGAAATGACTAGCATGTAGATCAGCAAATAGGTATGACCTGCTCAAACTGTGCACACCCACTGCCCAATGAAACAAAGCATGGGCAGGGGAATGCTAGTATATGTGCAGGCGAGCTGACTGAGTGGGCGTGGCTATTTATTTACTTACTTTCATTCTGCTGCCCTTGTCCATAGACATCAGACTCCAGCTGCCTCCACCTTTGAATGCAGATCTGCACTAGCAATGCTCCAGGATGCTCCCGGGCTGTCAGCCTTGTAACAGGGTCACATTACTGTGGTGGGGTCACATTGCCGTGGTGGGGTTACATCGCTGGTCCCTCCTGTTCTGTAGCTTCCAGCTTCTTGGACTGAGCTTAATGTCCCTGTGCTTGTGACTTGCCATTGTGGGACTACCCAGCCTCTGATCCTATTAGCCAATGAGAACCCTGATTGATCTACTATTCCATATTGGCAATTACAGCTCAGTGCTTTTTATGGTCCCCTAGTAAACCATTGTATGGCTGTACTTTAGTCTGTACACTTTCGAATAGGACAAACAGTGCTCCTGTTGAATGGCCCTGCATAAACCTTCTTTTTGAGTGTGTGAGTATGAGTGTGTGTGTGTGAGTGTATGTGAGTGTATGTGTAAAAGTGTGTGAATGTTTGTGTGAGAGTGTGTGTGAGTGTATATGTGTGAGTGTGTGTGTGTGTGACAGTGTGCGAGTGTATGTGTGTAAGTGTGTGTGTGTGAGAGTATGGGAGTGTGTGAGAGAATGTGTTTGTGGTTTTGTGTGTGTTGATAGAGAGCATTCTAGGCATGCTCCTTACTACTAAGCCATACCTCAGACCTGGGCATTTTTGAACCATGTTGTTTCTATGTAGCTCAGAATAGCTTTAAGTACTCTATATAGCCCAGATTGACATCAGATTTCTGGTTGCTCTACCTCCATTTCTCAAGTGTTGTGATTGAAAACTTATTTTTTAATTTATTTTTATTTTATGTTCATTGGTATGTTTTGCCTGTATGTGTGCCTGTGTGGGGGTGTCAGATCTTAGAGTTACAGACCGGTGAACTTTGGGCATTTGTGAGCGGCCCTGTGGGCGCTGAGTCCTCTGAAAGAGCAATCAGTGCTCTTAACTGCAGAGCCATCTTTCCAGCCCTTTCAGTTTTGTTTTGTTTTAGAGTCAGGGTTGTAGCCCTGGTTGTACTGAAGCTCACTCTGTAGACCAGGTTGGCCTCAAACTCACAGAGATCCGCCTCCTCAGCTTCTGCTTCCTCAGCGCTGGGATTAAAGGCGTGTGTCACCACCACCCGGCAAAGCAAGAACTAAGTTTTCAACCGTTATAGAATGGGCCCGACCTGGTCCACCTATCATCTTTGTTTTCAAAGAAGACGTGAAAGTTTGTTGCAGAAAGGAAGTATGGCAGTCGTGAAACACAGCTGGCTGCCCCAGACAGAGTGCCCACAAATGCACTTTTCATTTCTCGGGAAGGATTTGAATATCAGCCATGCGCTGCTTTGCAAGTCGCTTACCGCGTGCCTGCACTTGCGTTCAGCGCCCCAGGTGGAATGCCCCTGCCCCTGTGCTGATGCAGCGCAGGGATGGCATAATGACAGTCATTGGCCAGGTTCTCCACCGACTCGGTGGTGCCTGGTCTTAGCTGGCTTGCCCACAGCTTTCCATTTTTGTTTGCTTGCTTGTAGGCAGCTGCAGCAGCCAGACTTGTAGGTTCCTCGTCTCATTCCCCACCCCACGGATTTGCATCCCCCTTAATCCTTTTTTCAGAACGAGAGAGAGAGAGAGAGAGAGAGAGAGAGAGAGAGAGAGAGAGAGAGAGAGATTTATGTCTATTTATGTGTCTCTCTGTGTGCCAGTGCCTGCAGAGGTCAGAAGAGGATGTCCAATGCCCTGGAGTTTATAGCCAGTTGTGAGCACTTCGGTGTAGTTACTAGGAACCGAACTTGGATCCTGTCCCAAGAGGACAAGTGCTCTTAACTCCTGAGCCATCTCTCTAGCCTTCCCTCAATATTTATTTATTTAATAATAAATTTTTTATTTATTTTTTGAGGCAAGGTCTGGCTATGTAAACTTGACTATCCTGGAACTCACTATGTAGATCTGGCTAGCCTTGAACTCAAAGGGATCTGCCTGCTGGGATCAAAGGTGTGTGCCACCATGCCCAGCAGCCCCCTTCATGTTAAGGAGAGAGAAGGTCCATACTTTGAAGTTGGTTTGGGACTGTTGGCCTTGCCTAGATTGGAGGAACTGGAGGCCTCAGCAGCAAGCCTTGTTTCCTGGTGTCTGTGGATACAGACTGGAATTGTGTGCTTGATTGGTGAAATCAAGTAGAAATGTTCTAACCTGGAAGACCCAAAGAAGTCAAGGACCATTTCTAATCCGAGCTGCTCTGGAGGCTGAGCTAGGAAGGTCAAAAGTTCAAGGCCTTCCTGGACTACAGAGTGAGTTCAAGACCAGCCTGGGCACCTTAGTGAGAACCGGCCTCCAAGTAGTCCCCAGTACCAAAGCAAATCAGAGAATCAAAGTTTAATAATATTATAGGGTTACAAACTTGATGTCTATAAGCCTTGGTTTTTTTTCTTCCATAAACTTTTTAAAACCTTTGTCAATATTTTATGTCCACTGCTGCAAACCACAACATTTTACAGTAATTGCTCAACTATCTTTTCATGAGCGACTTATCAGAACCAAGGGATCTGGTAAAGGCTAAACCAAAAAAGCAAAGGCTTTTTGGTTATTGTTTTGTGGATAAAGTGGCTGTCCTTTGCTGTCGCTGACTCCCTCTCTGTTACATATTTGGGGATTAATCCCCACAGCTCAGAACCTGTTTCATGAAAACTCTTTCCCACTGCCAGGCCTTGTCCCTCTCTCTTTAGGAAGCACAGAGATCTGCCTTCCTGCAATTATCTTTATCGGCAGGCATTTGGTCAGAGTTTAGGGTCCAGGCAAAGAGTATCCCATCTAAGATATTCACAGATCTCCAGGGACGTAGAATTATTACCTGCCCAAGCTGCTGCTCTGGTTTTACCCCACAGCACCCACGATCAGAACGGCTGATGACAGCATAGCCTGGAACTGATAATTTAGGGGCCTGGGTCTCTTAGCTTAGAGCAGTAAATCTAACTCCAGGCCTAGGTCCATAGAAATTACAGTGTCCAGTGTATGTGCTATCTGCTCAAGAGCCATCAGCTTCCCCTAGGTTGCCTAGTTACCTTGCAGCCTCTATGCATACTGGGGAAAAGAAGTAGTGTGCTGATTTAAACATAATTTTACTGAAGATAAACTCCTTAGCTCTTTTCTAAACACCTAAAAATGAAGCATAGCACACTAACCTTTCCCTCTAGAATTCCCAGATGATTTGATTCCTTTCTTAACTAACTTTCTCCATTAAGGAGTTCACCTGATGTGTACTAGCCACTCCCATGGGTGTGTGTGTGTGTGTGTGTGTGTGTGTGTGTGTGTGTGTGTGTGTGTGTTGAAAACTCTTATGTGATTTTCTATGGAGCACAATAATTCCAGCCCTGGAACCTGCTAGGAATGGGACTTACTGGTTTTAAGGCTATACATGACTGGGAACATTGGTAATGGGTAGAACTAGGGACAAGAGGAACAGTGTAGAGCTAAGAACAATGTAGAACAAGGAGAACAAGTAACAGGGGAAGAATGAGAAATGATGGATTGAAGAGAGAAGAATAAAGAAACATAGACAGAGGATTCCTGTTGTGAATAGATTTCTTACCCCTCAGATCTTTACCCTCAGATTTCTAGATGCCTTTAGTTATCCATGGCGCCTTTAATTGAACCCTGAAAGGGAGTCTTAAAGGCAAAAACCTTAGAGGTTTCCTAAATTCCACTAGCTCAGAAAAAAAGATCAATCAATATGAAAAAACATTAACAATTTTTTAATCCAGAGAAGGGGAAGTATTGGGATCTTAATGACCCACTTCTTGTTGTATTATTTTCATAATAAAAAGGAAAGCCAAACAGAGCACCTGGGAATGACAAAAGATGTTAAAGTGAGCTGGAGACTCACAGTTCAGGGGTAAAGCGATTGCCAACTATATGAGAGGCCCAACATCACAAAAACAATCAACTAAAACAAAAATCGACTATACTATAACCTCTTCAGAGTCTCCCAGAAAAAAGCTGGTTTGCTGCAATCATTGGTATGTGGTTCCACAAAGGAAGAACCAATTCTAGAACCCTGAGAAAGTTGGGCTTCTAATTCTGGAGAGTCTATGCCTAAATCTCCAGTACAAGGCGGGGGGAGGCTTAGACTGACCATCACAAAGCATGAGTCCTATTTTCAGTCATAGCAGGTAATTGATGAATAACAGGCTGGTGGTGAAGCCTGGTGGTGGAGCAAGTCCTTAGTGTGCACAAAGCACCAAACAAACACAGAAAAGGGACTGGGTATCTGAGTTCTTTTTTAACGTCATGTTGACCAGATACAAACACCATTTGGACAGCGGCAGGAGCTGCCTTCCCAGTCTAACTTGATCACCAGCCCCTAGGCCCTCTGGTGTCTCTGACAGAGTTAGGGTATGTTATTAATCTTCAGTCCTTGACTCTTTATTATTTTTTTCCCTTGTACTGGGAACTGAATCCTAGATCTTTCATACTCTAGGCAAGTGCTCTACACCCAGACCACTTCTTTTTTATTTTGAGTCAGATTCTCAGTAAGTGACCCAGGCTAGCCTTGAACTTTTCATCAGGCTCCCAAATAACTGGGCTCCGGGTGGTCCTCATTGCTTTATACATAGATATTTGTATGTATACTCTAAAAGCTAAGGATATTGTCCAAAATACAAGGATTGCATCTATCAAAGTGAACAATAAATTGGTTTACAGTCATTTCCTAGTTTTCAACAGCCTATCTATATTAAAATATTCATGGTTATTTCAAATTTTCATTTATAATGTTTTGTGACCTAGAACCAGTCAAGTACAACATGC